GCACTGTGGGAATTGACCTAATGCTGAGCACCCATAGAGGTGAGTGGGACCCGACGTCATATTCTCTCTTTACATCGCTGTCTATCCCCTTGACAGCACTGCCTGGTGGGGCCATGTGCCAAGTCTTGTTTGTCTGCTTCTTGGAGTGACAGTTCTTTTTGGCCCATAATGTAAATATCATGGCCTTGAAATCTTCCAGCTGTTCATGCTTTGTCACTTCTTCAAAGGGAACTGACTTGTTTTCCACTGGAGGAGTCCATGGAACATTTGCTACCCACAGTAGTTGGAATCATTAAAAGGAAAGATAAAGAGCTAAGAGTCAGTGTTGTTTCATTGTTTGTATTCAGATGGAAATTTTAAATCTCCCATCAAAGAATCAGGAGAAAAATCACATTGAAATTCAGTAACAGAGCTCCAAGCTTACACAGAATTTTTCAAGGATGTTTGACTTGATCCCTTAAAAATGACAAAAACCATGAACTGTGTAGCTCCAGGGTTGATAATTAATTTGTTTACCCTTCTCAGCCTTTCTTGCCTTCCTACCTATATTCCATGTGTGTGGTCCTGTTTCAGCATGCATAGTTCCTTTGAATGGCCTATGGGAGATAGGTAAGAAGTGTGCAGCAGTCGGGTTTATAGAGCTGCCTATGAATAACATCTTTCTAAAACCTCAGTCATCTCTCAATCTTATAGTTGGTCTCTCCATCTTCACTGTCCTTTAACAATGCTACAGTTCTGATTCAGAGAAACCAATTGTGTTTCTAAAGCTACAATAGTGAACTCAAACATAACAATTGTGAAGATGGTGCAAGAGTATGTAGTGTTTCGTTCTGTTGTACATAGAGTTGCTATCTGTTGGAGCTGACTGAAAGGCACCTAACAACAATCTTTACAGAAGCACACAAAATGCCTGATGGGTTCAGACCACCAACTTTTCTGTCAGTGGTCAAGCGCTTAACCACTGTGTCACCAGGACCCTTAGTACCATTGCCTTACTAGAAAATAAAACTCATCATATCATTTTCCTGCTTAAAAACTACTACTGGCTTCCACTTCAGGCTCCCTAGACTGCCACTGAAGGCTTCCCAGATCTGGCTCCCTTGCCTAATTAGTCAGCTTCATCTCCTCTACCCTGGCTTAAACCCACACCAGCCCATTCTCCAATGGATTTTAAATTCCTTGAAGTATTAAACAGTGTATTTCCAAGGTCTTGCACGGTGACTTGTGTATAGTACATACTTTGATCCTGCACTATCCCCACAATTGTTATATTTGAGCCCATTGTTGGCGTCACTATGTCAGTCCACCTCATTAAGGCTCTTCCTGTTTTTCACTGACCCTTACTTTGACAAGCATGACACTCTTTTATGGGGACTGTTCTCTCCTGATAACATGCCCAACATGCCTGAAATGAAGTCTCGCCAGCCTCGCGTCTTAGGAGTATTCTAGTTGTATTTCTTCCAGCATGGATTTATTTGTTGTTCTGTCAGTTCATGGTACTTTTGATATTCTTCTCCAAAAGTAGTCAGTGCTTCTCTGGTCTTGTTTATTCACTGTCCTGCTTCCACATGCATATTAGGTGATTTAAAATACTATGGTTGGGGTCAGATGCACCTTAGTCCTCAAAGTGACCTCTTTACTCTTTTAACTGTAGAGAAGTTTTATGTAGCAGATTTTCCCAATGCAGTATGTTGGTTCACTTTTTCAATACTGCCTCTATGAGCATTGAGTGTATATCCAAATAAAATTAAACTCTTGACAATTTTTATCTTTTCTCCATTTATCATGATAATATCTGTTGATCCAATTGTGGGGATATTTTCTTATGTTGAGGTATATTTCATACTGGAGGCTATAATCTTTGTCTTTGACATTAAACAGTTAATGCTAAATAAACAAATGCTTAATAAACACTAAGTAAATTAGTGATTTTAAAATTCTAACAAGATCACAGTATGAGAGAGAAATCTGAAAATTCCTTCTCTTCTGTGCTTTATTCCTTTACTAAGTCCAAAATTTAATCATTGCATAGGCTAAGGACCCTTTCTTCTTCTGTTATAGATTCCTGTTCACTTATTAAGTCCCAGTGTTCTTTCTCAGTACTCACCACGAAACCCCATGCCGCCTCTTGAGACTCAAGAGGGCCAGATAAAAGAGCACCCTAGAGCTTTTAGCTAAGGTTGCTTGGTGCTCTTATGTCTAAGTGTTATAAAAATAGTACAGGCACCTTTTGTCTTCTGGGAGTTCTTTTACACATTGATCTTTTATCTGATCTTCTATAAGACTGGCCTAGAATGATATTTTACATGAAAGTAAGTTAAAATAAACTTTTTTGTAGGAATTCTTTGATAGCCATTGGTAAAAGATACAAATGTTGTAATGGAGACAACTCTAATATGTAGGTTATATGGTGAAATATGCCTCTGAAATACATGGTCCCTATGAGTGATTTTAAATTACAGTCTGAATCAAACCAGGAGAGTGGTAACACAGAAACTGAGAAAAAATGGAAGACAAGAAGCTAAAAGATGGCCTAAATTTGTACAATTTGGAAGATACAACAAAACCTAAAGAAGAAAAGAATCACTCCTAATTCTATAGTGAGGAAGAATTAAGCAAACACTGTACTCAGTCTGTGTGTATGCAAATGTAAAGCTATACATAACGCACTGCCATAACACATTAAGGAGAAAAAATATGGCCTCTGTAGAAGCCAACAGCAACAAAAAAGTTTTAAAATAAAACCCAGTGCCACTTATTGATAAAAGTTTATAGCAAAATAAGGGTTAAAAGAGAAGTTTCTTAATCTGATAGAAGTTAGAGATTAAAAATCTATAACAATCATTATTCAAAAAGATTCGCTTTAAAATCTGGAGCAGTAAGAATGCTTGCTATCAATGTTTCTATTCATCACTATATGAAAAACCTTAACCAATACAGCAAGATGGTGGCAATCGTGTCAATTATAGAAGAAGAAGAAAAAAAGTTGTTCCTTCCATTCAAGTTTCTATATCTTATTTTATTTATTTTTCATTATCTTGCTATATTAGTTAAGACAGAGTTATTAAGATTGTTTCGCTGTATCATTGACTATAAGATCAAAAGTTAATTTAAAAGAAAATAATTGTTTAAAAGACACCATTTACAATAGCAATAAAAAATAAGATCTGCAATGTCTTTGTGGAAAATATTTTTTAAAAAGAAATTGAAGAAAGCAGAAATGAAGAAATGACTATTGTGTTTGTCTGGGTAGACTAGAAAAACAAACTCATTGACACTCATGTGTAAGAGAGAACTTTATATCAAGAAGTAATTATGGATCATTAAGACATCCTAGCCTAGTCCAGATCAAGTCCGTAAGTCTGATATTAGCCCATATGTCATTTACCAATCTATGAATTCCTCTTCAGATTCAGGCAGCACATGTAATGATCACAGGCCAGTGGGTGGAAAGTCTTGTGAATCTAGTGGCAGTGGAAGCATCTCCAGGGTTCTGGCTGCCATCAGCATGACTCCATGTCAACAGGAAAGTGTAGCAGAGATATGTGTGTTCTGCCTCTAGGGAGGAAAACAGCAGTTCCCAGAATCCTCCAGAGAAGACCATGCCCACACAGAGACTTCATTGACTATGACCTGATTGACAGGCTAGAGACTCCATCCCTTCACTCAACTTGACAGGAGATATGTAACTGCCACAACTATGTTTATGGATAGGAAGACTAAGTGTTATAAAGATGCTGCTCTTACCTACCTATATACTCGCGTATAAGCCGAGTTTTTCAGCACATTTTTAATGCTGTTTTTGTGGTAAAATTAGGTGCCTTGGCTGATATTTGGGTTGGCTTATACTTGAATATATACAGTAAGTTGGATTCAATCAAATCCTACCAAGGTGTTTTGAAGACCCAAATAAACTGATCCTAAAATTTATATAGGAAAACAAAGGCCTTCACTGACACTGAATTATTCAGATAGAAGTCGTAGAATTAGAGAATGTTTTGTTGCGTGTATTTTTGCCACAATTAGGAAAAAATAATAATTGTATGAATAACACTGAGTAGAAGGAAGAAGAAAATGTTCTAGAATTGAATGTGGTGATGCTTGTACAACTCTACTTGATATGATTGAACTGTTGAATTGTATAGATGGAGTGATAATAAAACTGTTAAAAGGGGGGGGAGCAAAAGCCTTAAAATCAAGATATTCTAAAGAATAAATTGACATGTCCTTACAGAATCCAGCACATATTTTAAAGCTCTACTAATTAAAATCATGTGGTACTAGAGCAGAAATAGACACAGAATGGACAAACTCAGAAATAGATGCACATGTAAAAGCAGACGTTATATGACAGTGAAAATAGTGATTTATTAAAAAATTAACAAATTTTTTTTAAAAATTAAAAAGTGATTTATGAGGATAAAAAGGTGCTGAGATAAATATTACCCAGGTGAGAACAAGACAACATAATTTTATCCCTGTTTCATTCCTCACAGAAGTAGCAATCCCAGCTGTTTTAAAACTTAAATGACAAAGGAAAATGTATATAAATTTCATTGGAAAATGTAGCACAAAAATTGTGACTATGCATTAAAATTAAGATCTTGTATTTATTAAAAGATGGCAAAGAAAATCACAGCTTCTTCAAAAGGCCAGAGTATTCTACCTTCTCATGGGTAGAATAGTCAAGATTATGTTAAAATATATTCATACTTACATGCATACACACAAACACCGTGGATGAAATTTTGTAAATTACTTTCTATCCAGACTACTGGGGGGAGGGGTTTTCAGATACACTAATCTCCCACTCTTGCTTACAGCTAATAAAGAGAGCCTGGATCCTCTACTTCTTCAGAACTGTCAAATCCATGCCATTTTTAATCTCAATCCCCACGTGGCATGATGGATGGAATTTGACTTTTCCTTGTATGCACAGAGCTTTTGCTCCCAATAGAATCCAGTCAGGTTTCTCATATTTGGCCACTTTTTCTTCCTAGGTCAATCACTTCGATCCGGAGTGAACTGATTCCATACCTAGTGAGAAAACAGTTCTCTTCAGCCTCATCTCAACAGGGACAAGAAGAAAAAGAGGAAGACCTGAAGAAGAAAGAGCCCAAATCCTTAGGTCAGTGCTCAAGTTAGTGGTAGCCGTACCTCTGGAGTGGGCAGGTGGCTAAGATGCCTGTCTCAAGGCAGTGGGCCCTTTATCTGACCTATGGGACAGAGACTAACTGCTCCCAATCTCTGGGCTGTGGGTATCCTTCCTCAAGCAGATCCTCTTACAGTGTTCTTCAAGATTATGCTAACCTCTTCCCACTCCATTCTTGGTTCCCACCAAAATATTTTGACTTTAAACTCTGCCTGCCACTTTCCAGTTCTACTTTTCTCTAGACTTAAAGAAGTCTCATTCCTGGTTAAATTTACCCCTTTTGTGAAGGGAAGGAATCTGAAACTGTACAATTATAGCCCAACTCAAAGCAAATCAAACTTTCCACTCCAGGATATAAGGGCGAGGTCTGATTTGCTTTCATATCCCTAGCCCCTGCCCCAGTTCTTGGCTCATATAGATGCCATATAGATTGAAAAAAACTTATTAATTAAATAAAAGCAGTCTAGCATAATGGTTAAGATCACAAGATTTGGTATTAGACAGACCCGAGCTTGTGTAATCTGGTCCTGCTTCATATTAGCTGACTTAGGCAGGTTGCTCAGGTATCCTGTGCTTTTTTTGTAATAGCATAGCTACCTTTAGCAGTACAAAGTCAATGTGGCTGGTCAACTTTATTGAATTATTTCATGATTTTACAAAATTATTTGTTATTTTTTTAGTAGTGCTTGACTGTTGATCCAGCTTGTTCTGAGGACCCCCTTTTTAAAAAAAAAAAAAAAAAGATCTATTTTTTCCATTATGAGATACTTTCAAACATACAGGAAAACATATTACCTTTTTTTTTTTTTAATTTGACTTGATGTTTGGGGTCTTAGTGAATTTCCCCCAGGATTCATGCTGCATGGGCAAATTTCAAGGAAAGTCATCTTGACTTAAGTCTATAGGCCTTCTGTCATCTCTATAACTCTTTGTCTTGGCTTTGGTATTTGTTCTGAAGATATTTACAGTTTTATAAAAGAAGCCAATACTTTTGCACCTAATGACACCTGCTGGAATGCCTGTCGAACAGACAAGTGGGAAGACTTAACCAGACCACAGGTGCGCTGCTATGTCCACATCATGAAAGAAGGCCTCTGCTCCCGAGTGAGCACCCTAGGACTCTACATGGAAGCAAATAGACAGGTGAGAGGATGGGTTCAAAGAGGAGTCATGAGAGTTTCTGCCCCAGGAATAGACTGAGCCTTTTGTCTTACTTCATTAGTTATAGAGAACCTTGTTCCAAATTCCTCTTTCTCATGGTTAAAACAAGGCCTGCTTGGCATGTCATGGGGGATCACTGTAGCAGGAGGTGTAGGTGAGGACCTTGTCCATAAATTTAGAGCTTCATTGGCTCCAAGGGAAGGTTAAGATCTTCAGGAATGCTAATTCCTAGCTTCTGGGTTCAGCAACATTCTCCTATTCTCAGCATGGGGCTGTCTATAGTGCTTGCTTGATAGACAAGCTGATAAATGCTGTGTAAACATTACTGTGATGTGGTAAACAAAGAGACACAGAGGAGGCTTTGTGATGTAATTAAATCGAGTTTTGAAGGATAAGTAGGAGCTGGCCAGACCAAGAAGGGGAGTAGGGGAGGATGATATAGGCCTGAGGTCTGCAGACTGAGACAGAAGAGCCAATCCTATCCCTCATGACAATTTTAAATTTATTCAAAAGCTATAAATGTATTTTTACCAATAAATGAAATCACCATTATCTGAATAATATCATTTAATTTTTTTAAATTTTACTTCAAAGCCATATGTAAGTACTGAAAGAGCTGCACAATACTTGCATGCTGCAGTTTTCTGACCTCTGATATAGACTAAGAATAGCATGCACAAATAGAAAGCATGAGTCATTCTGAAAACTACAGAAATTTTTATATGACGGAAGCACAGAGAAGGGAAGGGCAGGAAAGAGACAGCTGCAGAATAAAGGTGGGCCAGTCACAAAGAGCATTGTCTATTATTCTAAGGAGATCACTGTTTTTATCCTATGGTTAAAGGGTAGAAATACTAGTTTAGAGGATTAGTTGTTGACATGGTTCCTAGAAAAACTCTGTGGAAACTTGTTGCAGGTATAGACAAGATAAACTGAAGGAGTGGTGAATTTTAAAAATTGGTTAAAATTGGGGTCTCTCTAACTGCCATCAAGTTGATTCTGACTTGTAGCAACTCTATAAGGTAGGGTAGGATTTCCAAGGCTGTAAATCTTTATGGAAGCCGGCGGCCTCATTTTTCTTCCATAGCTGGTAGGTTTGAGCTGCCAGCCTTTGGGGTCTCAGCCCAGTGCTTAACCCTTTGTGCCTGCAGTACTCTTAAAAAGGGTATAGAACCGCTTGAGGACCTAAACCATATGGTGGACATAGCTCTAGCCCCACAATGGAGAAAAAAACTTAAGACCTCAAGCTGAGCTCAATATTGGATTGGTGGTATTGTTGTTAGGTGCCATTGAGTAGGTAGTGACCCTGTGCACAACAGAATGCAACACTGCCCGGTCCTGCACCATCCTCACGATTGTTCCTCTATCTAAGCCCATTGTTGTAGCCACAGTGTCAACCCAGCTCCTCAAGGGCCTTAACCCTTTGTCATTTCTCCCACACTTTACCAAGCATGATGTCCCTGCCCCTCTACTTTACCATGCATGTCCTCCAGGAACTGCTCTCTCCTGACAACATGCTCAAAGTATGTAACGCTAAATCTTGATATCCTTGCCTCTAAGGAGCACTTAGGCCTTACTTACTCCTAGACAGATCGGTTTGTCTTTAGCAGTTCACGGTACTTTCAGCGTTCTTCTCCAGCACCCCAATCCAAATGCATCATTTCTTCAGTCTTCCTTAGTCAATATCCAACTTTCTTTTTTTTTTTCTTTTTTTTTGTGTGTGTGTTTTATTTTTTTATTATTATTTTTTAATCATTTTATTAGGGGCTCATACAACTCTTATCACAATCCATACACACATCAATTGTGCAAAGCGCATTTGTACATTCATTGCCCTCATCATTCTCAAAACATTTCCTCTCCACTTAAACCTCCGGCATTAGGTCCTCATTTTTCCCCTCCCTCCCTGCTCCCCCCTCCCTCATGAGCCCTTGATAGTTTATAAATTGTTATTTTGTCATATCCGACGTCTCCTTTCACCCAATTTTAATATCCAACTTTCACATGCATATGAGGCAGTTGAAAATAGCATGGCTTGGGGCAGGCGCACCTTAGTCTTCAAAGTAATATCCTTACTTTTCAATATTCTAAAGTGGTCTTGTGCAGGAGATTTACCTAATTCAACTTGTTTTTTTATCTCTTCACTGATGCTTCCATAAGCATTGATTGTGGATCCAAGCAAGACAAAGTCAAGCCTCATATCCCCAAAAGGGCTACCTGGGTATCTTAGAGGCTTGTTGCATCCCCTTCTGCCTGAGGTTCTTGGCATTACTTCTGGGAAAGAGGACTCTAAGACAAGGTTCCTGAAAAAGCTGTCATAATCATGGTCCTAGGGGAATTATAGCAGCTTCCTGTCTTACCACCTGGATGAAAGTTGTGGCTAAGAACACCACACATCATGCCTCTGAATAGGTACTGGGTTCTACCCAAGAGGCTTTCAGGTATTAGTCTTGCTTTAATGACCAAATCTCTTTCCTACAGGTGCCCAAATTGCTGCCTGTTCTTTGCCCAGAAGAATCGCTGATCCATTCATCAGCCCAGATTGTCCATAAACACCTAGTAAGTACTAATGTGGGCAGTAAAGCAATCTCCAGGAGCATTGCTTGTCCTTGAGATGCTAATTTAGAACAAGCCCTAGGGAAATCCCAGCTGGATTGTGGTTACAACTATCACCCTATAGAAATCAGCTTAGTCTATGGCCATACCGTCCTGAACAGGTCCAATCTGATCTGATCTTGGAAGCTAAGCAGGGTCTGGCCTGGTTAGTATTTGGATGGAAGAAGTCAGCTTAAATAAGTGCCATCCCTAGCCACACAAACCATGTAAGGAAAAGTCTCCTGTAGTGCTGAGATTGAAATATAGGAGTTTTCAATCTCTCTCCCTTTTCCTACCCTAATTTGAATATTGTCTTCAAGAGAACAGTTGATAGGGAACTGTATGCCTATTTTATACATACATGCATGGATATGTGCATATGTATCAGGTTTTTTGTTTGGTTTTGGCAAACAAAGTATCATGTTTGGTACTTTGGCAAGGAAGTACACCATATTTCTATATAGATTTGTGTTGGTCTCAGAAGTATTGTGGGCCCTATGTGCCAAAGAAATATTGATGATCCCACTTATTGAACTTTCTAGGAAAGTTCTTATTAGACTACAGCTCAAGAGATATGAGGGTTCATTTCCAGTTGGTTGTGATGAATAACTGGTTTTTATATTTGCCTTTTGCAGGTTGGAGTTGACAGCCTTATTGGGTCAGATACACAGGTTGGCGAGAAGTCATCTATTAAGCTATCAGTCATTGGTTCATCCTGTGCCATAAGAGATAGAGTGTCTATCACAAATTGTCTTCTCATGAACTCAGTCACCGTGGAGGAAGGGTATGTTTCTCCTTATATCCATTAAAGGAAGGTTTCAGGCATTCCCAAGAGGTTTTGGAATTAGTCCAGTCCAGGGATTGGGTCACCTGAGGGAGGAGGTAAAGAAAGGAGGGAATAGCACCTGGGCTTCTACTTGGCCTTAATTACATGGCCTCTCAAGGTATTTCCAAAGCCCATCTTTTGTGATAATGTGGTCCTGGAAGAAGCTGCCTTCTCATATCTTGATACTCTGCTTTATGGGGATGGCTACACCATTTAGCCACTATCCATGTTGAAATGGCACTGCACCAATACAGAGAATTACCTCCACTTTCTCAACATCACAGAAGAAGACAGACCTAGTAGGAGAGGATGGTGAGCCATGCATTATTTTTTAATAATCATAAGGATGGCACAAGCAGCCCTGGTGGCATAGGGGTTATGTGTTGAGCTGTTAATCACAAAGTCAGCAGTTCAAAACCACCAGCCATTCTGAGGGAGAAAAATGAGGTTTTCAACTTCCATAAAGAGATACAGTCTCCCCATACTATGGTGGTGTAGTGGTTATACACTGGGCTGTGATCCGAATGATCAGCAGTTCAAAACCACCAGCAGCTCCTCGGGAAAAAGACTGGGCTTTCTATTTAAAAAAAGAGAGAGAGAGAGAGAGAGAGATACAGTCTCAGAAACCCACAGGAGCAGTTCCAGTCTTATCATATAGGATCCCTAAGAGTCAGAATTCACTTACTGGCAGTGAGTTTTGGAGGGTGGCACAGGAACATACATGAGGTCGCTATGAGAGAGAGCCAACTCAGCAGCAGCTAAAAACAGCATTTTTAAAGGAGCACATCTCTCTAAGTCATAGAGTAAGGTGACCAGATTTTAACATTGGTAAAGCGGGACACCATTGATAAAACTCATATCCTGGCGAAATAGCCACACGGCAGCTGAAAACCGTATACCCTAGCTTGTCGTGCATTCTTTCCAAAAATCGGGACTTTTTTTAAAACGCCACGGGATGCGGGGAAAATTGTGAAAAATCGGGACATCTGGTCACCTTATCATAGTCATATAGCATTGTTCACACCTGGGAACACTTTAGAGTGTCTTAAAATCTTGGTCTAGGGACAACTTGAACATGGATTGAAAAGATTTGAATGATCTTTAGTGAGCTTCTTCTATTTTAAGGTTTTTCTAGGTATAAAATGAAAGCCTGATGAGGTTGTGTTGTTTGTAGCCATTAAGATAACTCCAACTCATGGCTACCTTAGGTGTAACAGAACAAAATGATGCCCAATCATCTACCACCTCCATAATGGTTACTGTTTAATTTTGAGTGTCTTCCAACCTGAGGGGCTCATCTTCCAATACTGTATTGGGCAGTGTTTTTGTATTATTCATAAAGTTTCATCTGCAAACATAGGTAGTAGAAATAATGAAGGATACTACCATATCAGTTATGCTGAAGTCTAATATTTTCAACTGCTGAAAGCAGATGTGTTCTGAGTATGGAGGGTGTGGGGGGGGCCCTTACTTGTCTTTCTGCAGGATGTGAGACAGGTTCAGAAAACAAATTTTGAAAATCATTAGGCTAAATTAGCCTGAAATGGACTTTAGCTCTGATCATTTAATCTCTGTCCAGAAACTGCTTCCTAGATTTATAAATTAGTTAATATATATAAAGCACTTAGAATCATCTTTAGCACATAGATGTTAGTTATTATTGTCATCGTCATCATCACCGTATATCATTTCACAAAGGTGGCATGTTCCAGAGTTATCTTCCTGAAGAATATCTCTGATCTTCTCATCCTTCTGTTCAAAAACTATTGAAGGCTCCTCATTACTGAAAAGTTTGAACTTCATTGTTTATTTTCAAGATTCCTCATGATTTGATTCCAGCCCTGAGTCCTGGAATGTTAGCATAAGATAACACCTTAAGAAGTTATCCACTCATTGGGCCTCCACTCAAGTACTCCCTCAACACAAGAATACTTTCTTCTAGTAAATTGGCATTCTATGATGCTCACCTTCCCAACACAA